TCAGTACATTCATCAGGAGTCATATAGTATAGAATACTGTTTAAACAATACGTTATGAATATGTGAACTGTATATGTGTACTGACTGTATCTACATTCCTTTGTAACAGGTGCTTGTTGAACACCAGTCCAACAAGTGGGACGAAAGATGGGAAGAACAAAGTATAGTTCCACCCCAAATTGTTACAATTTGAATATAAATGGGGTAATTAAGATAATATGCACATTGAATAATTAAAATAACCCACGATATCCTAGTAAGGACTATAATATTTAAATGTTTTAGCAACTCTATAATTTTGGATTAAACTATATGTACCACAAAATAAAGGGCAGTATTTATAACATGTTATATTTTATGAAACATCTGGTACTGTACACTTTAGAATAACTCAAAAAACATTAAAGATTGTTTGTGTATATATATATATCACTAACACCGGCGAGTGACTCACACTAAGTTTTAATTCCTAAAATCACTAATAAAGATTCTGATTTATTATAAAAACAACTTAACTGTATAGTAAAGGTTACTGTAGTTCGAGAAAATACAAATACTATAAATCTGAGGTAATCAGTGGGTTGTTCACTGTTCACTCAACTGTAAGTTTAGAAGTTAAATCTATTTTTACAATAAAATGGTTTTATAAAAGTACCAGTATTTTATTCTAAAATTATTGCATTTTTTGCAGTGTACAAAATAAGTACTGTTATATTTACATTTAAGTGCCGATTTACAACTGTTATACTAACGTTTAAGTACCGATTTACAACTGTTATACTTACATTTAAGTACCGATTTACAACTGTTATACTAACGTTTAAGTACCGATTTACAATTGTTATACTAACATTTAAGTACCGATTTACAACTGTTATACTTACATTTAAGTACCGATTTACAACTGTTATACTTACATTTAAGTACCGATTTACAACTGTTATACTTATAACTAAGTACCGATTATAAATTTCTAAACTTTCATATAAAAGTTGCCGTTAAGAAACGGTTAAACTTAAATATAACCAACAATTCCCAACTGTTAAACTTACAGCAAAATACCAATTACTGAAAATTAAACATATATGTAAGAATAACTCAGGAAATGTTAAAATCTCATCTAATTACGAATTACAAACTCTTAAACTGATATCTAATTCCTATTTAATAACCTCAAACTCACCAGCAAGTACGAATTACGAATTGTTTAACTGACATCTAATTGCTAATTAACAACCTCAAACTCACCGAAAGTACGAATTACGAACTGTTTAACTGACATCTAATTGCTAATAAACAACCTCAAACTCACCAGCAAGTACGAATTACGAACTGTTTAACTGACATCTAATTGTTAATCAACAACCTCAAACTCACCAGCAAGTACGAATTATGAACTGTTAATTGACATCTAATTGCTAATTAGCAACCTCAAACTCACCAGCAAGTACGAATTACGAACTGTTTAACTGACATCTAATTGCTAATTAACAACCTCAAACTCACCAGCAAGTACTAATTATGAGCTGTTTAATTGACATCTAATTGCTAATTAACAACCTCAAACTCACCAGCAAGTACGAATTACGAACTGTTTAACTGACATCTAATTGCTAATAAACAACCTCAAACTCACCAGCAAGTACGAATTACGGACTGTTTAACTGACATCTAATTGTTAATTAACAACCTCAAACTCACCAGCAAGTACGAATTATGAACTGTTAAACTGACATCTAATTGCTAATAAACAACCTCAAACTCACCAGCAAGTACGCATTACGAACTGTTTAACTGACATCTAATTGCTAATTAACAACCTCAAACTCACCAGCAAGTACGAATTACGAACTGTTAAATACATCTGTCAATGCCGATTATTATCCTTTCATCTAAGTATAAATTAGAAAATGTTAAACTTACGCCTCACTAAAGTCCTGACACTTACTTATTATACCAATTAATTACTGTTGAACTTACTTCTACTAGAATTTGGAAGTCTTAAATTTTCACCTAAGAAATGATTATTAAGAACGTAAATTTAGTCAGTAACAGCCTCTCTCGCTCTTAGTATTTTTTCTTTAGAACTTGGATGAATCATTTTATTACGTTTATCTGTATTTACGCTCTCTTTCTTAGCGTGTGTGTTATAGTTTGCTTAAAATAACGTTTAACATAGACGTCGCAAACCCTATATTTTTCCTGATAGTAATTGTTTATTTAGCCTGTTTCTATGCAGTTGTCACCCAAAATGAAAGGAGACAGATTTTTGACAGGTTCTAAGCATTACATTGTTAGTAGCTTTGTGTGTCTGTACAGTATAGATACTTGTTATTATCTGAAACATCCTTATAACCTAAAGTTTATAGTACACAAACAATTTAATTTGTATCTTGTATGTACAACTCAATACTTGTTATTGTGTGAAATTGAATAACATTGTAAAGCTTTTTTATTCATTGCCAATATTTTCTACGAATAGATTTAGATATCATCACTCACTGTGTGTTTGTCATTATTTAAAGTTGCTTAGACCATCGTTTCTCTGTGTTTAGATACTGATATATACTCACTGTGTGTTTGTCATTATTTAAACGCTGCTTAGACCAGCGTTTCTCTGTGCTTAGATACTGATATATACTCACTGTGTGTTTGTCATTATTTAAACGTTGCTTAGACCAGCGTTTCTCTGTGTTTAGATACTGATATATACTCACTGTGTGCTTGTTATTATTTAAACGCTGCTTAGACCAGCGTTTCTCTGTGCTTAGATACTGATATATATACTCACTGTGTGTTTG